ACCAGTTTAAAGTATTACCTGTTTAAAGTATTACCTGTTTAAAGTATTACCTGTTTAAAGTATTACCTGTTTAAAGTATTACCTGTTTAAAGTATTACCAGTTTAATGTATTACCTGTTTAAAGTATTACCTGTTTAAAGTATTACCTGTTTAAAGTATTACCTGTTTAAAGTATTACCTGTTTAAAGTATTCCCTGTTTGAAGTATTAACTGTTTAAAGTATTACCTGTTTAAAGTATTACTTGTTTACAGTATTACCTGTTTAAAGTATTACCTGTTTAAAGTATTACCTGTTTAAAGTATTACCTGTTTAAAGTATTACCTGTTTAAAGTATTACCTGTTTAAAGTATTACCTGTTCAAAGTATTAAACTACCACAACTACCACAATCGCTGTAGGTAACAGGTAACATACAATCTCCTCCTCCTACCACCACACAACCTACTTCCACCACCACAGCCACAACCACCACCCCAAAAGCCACTAACCACCACTATCATCAACCACCACACTAATGACCAGATCCCCATATCCATCCAACCACCTATTACAACAAACTCCGATTTTCTCCCCCTAACCACCGCCTACCACCATCCACCACCCCCTACCACAATCCACCACCCCTTACCACAATCCACCACCCCTTACCAACCATCCACCACCACCAACCACTATCCACTACCACAACTCCTCAACCACTCTTTACCATCATCCATCACCCCCTACCACCATCCACCAGCCCCAATTAATGACCACACCAACACAACAACACCCCATCCCCCCCCTCCTTCAACCCTTCCCCTCCCCCCCCCTCCCCACCTCTCCTCCGGGCCACACACACACACACACACACTGGCTCGTTCATATACAGTATTTCTCGTCTTTCGGTCAAATTCTATTGCCAGTATACAGTATTTCGCGGACCTAAAAAAAATTATATATATCTAAAAGTTTATTCATTAATGTGGATTTTCAGTGAACAAAAAAAAATGAAGGGATATATTTTTTTTATTTTATTTATTTAATTTTTTTGTAATTTCGAATAGTGGAATGTACGTTTTTTTTTTACTATATTATTATTATTATTATTATTATTATTATTATTATTTGGGTGTTATTTTGTAGTATTCGTTTGTTTGTTTGTTTGTGTGTGTGTGTGTGTGTGTGTGTGTGTGTCCATTCTCCTCCTTCATCTCTCTCCTCTTCTTTCCTTATTCGTAATTTCTCTTTCTCTCACTGTTTCTCTCTCTCTCACTGTTTCTCTCTTTCTCACTGTTTCACTTTCTCTCACTGTTTCTCTCACTGTTTCTCTTCTTCTCACTGTTTCTCACTTTCTCTCACTGTTTCTCTCTCTCACTGTTTCTCTTTCTCTCACTGTTTCTCTCTTTCTCTCACTGTTTCTCTCTTTCTCTCACTGTTTCTCTTTCTCTCACTGTTTCTCTCTCTTTTCTCTCACTGTTTCCTTTCTCACTGTTTCTCTCTTTCTCTCACTGTTTCTTCTTCTCTCACTGTTTTTCTTTCTCACTGTTTTCTCTCTTTCTCACTGTTTCTCACTTTCTCACTGTTTCTCTTTCTCACTGCTTTCCTTTCTCACTGTTTCTTCTTTTCTCTCACTGTTTCTCTTTCTCACTGTTTTCTCTTTCTCACTGTTTCTCTCTCTCTTTCTCTCACTGTTTCTTCTTCTCACTGTTTTCCTTCTTCACTGTTTTCTCTCTCTCACTGTTTCTCTCACTGTTTCTCTTTTCTCTCACTGTTTTCTTTTCTCTCACTGTTTTTCTCTTTCTCTCACTGTTTCTCTTTTCTCTCACTGTTTCTCTTTCTCTCACTGTTTTCTTCTCACTTCTCTTTCTCTCACTGTTCTTTCTCTCACTGTTTCTCTTTTCTCTCACTGTTTTCTCTTTCTCTCACTGTTTCTCTTTCTCTCACTGTTTCTCTTTCTCTCACTGTTTCTCTCTTTCTCTCTATCTCTTTATCTCTTATGCTTCTCAATAACTCTCTCCCGCTTCCCTTCTCCTCACTCTCTTCTCCGTTCTTTCTATCTCTCCTTTCTTCTTCCTCCCCAAGTCCGTTCCTTTCTCTTCCTTTTTTCTGTCTTGTTTGGCCATCCATTACTCTTCAACCCCCTCTCTCTTCCTCTCTTTTTCCTTATTTTCTCCCTCTCTTTTTTCTTTCATCCTCTTTTATTACTCTCTCTCTCTTTTCTTTTCTTGCTTCGTCTCCTCCAAATACCTTCTTTCCCCGGTACAGCAGAACAGACAACAGCAGATCAAGGGGGCGGCAGACAGCAGACAACGAAAATCTCCGCCTCAACCTCAATTCAGCTAAAGCTTAACCAACCCTAATGCTATTGAGGGGGGTTGTGGTTGGTTAGGTTAGGTTAGTTAGGTTAGGTAAAATGAGGTTAGGTTAGGTTAGTTAATCTTAGGTGAATTAAGCTGGGGTGGAGATTCTTCAGATGACAGCAGCAGCAGCATAGCAGACACCACCACTAGCAGCAGACAGTCCCAATATCATCATCAGCAGCAATAGCAGACACACCACTAGCAGCAGACAGTCCAATAGCATCATCACAGCAATAGAGACACCACCACTACGCAGACAGTCCCAATCATCACAGCAATAGCAGAACACCACAGCAGCAGACAGTCCCAATACATCATCAGCAGCAATAGCAGACACCACCACTAGCACAGAAGCATCATCAGCAGTAATAGCAGACACCACCACTAGCAGCAGACAGTCTCAATAGCATCATCAGCAATAGCAGACACCACCACTAGCAGCAGACAGTCCCAATAGCATCATCAGCAGCAATAGCAGACACCACCACTAGCAGCAGACAGTCCCAATAGCATCATCAGCAGCAATAGCAGACACCACCACTAGCAGCAGACAGTCCCAATAGCATCATCAGCAGCAATAGCAGACACCACCACTAGCAGCAGGAGCAACAGCAGACAGCAGCAGACTCAGAATACTAATGGGAGGAATATTCATGATGCTGGTGGTGGCACTGCTGACTGTTCCAATACTCTTTGTGTGGGCCCGTCCACCACCACCACCCAAACTCACGGTGAAAGCCAAGAAAGTGAAAATGATCGCCAGGGAGATGAGTGTGAAGTGAATGTACAAGTGAAAGCTAAAGTGAAAGTTATTAGTGAAAGTCTAAGTGAAAGTCTAAGTGAAAGTCGAAGTGAAAGTTATCAGTGAAAGTCGAAGTGAAAGTTATCAGTGAAAGTCGAAGTGAAAGTTATCAGTGAAAGTCTAAGTGAAAGTTATCAGAGAAAGCTAAAGTAAAAGCCTAAGTGAAGTGTAAGTTATCTGTGAGAACTAAAGTGAAAGTTATTAGTGAAAATTTATGTAAAAGCTATATGTGGAAGTTATCAATGAAAGTGTAAGTGAAAATTTAAGTGAAAGTATAGAGTTATCAGTGAAAGTCTAAGTGAGAACTAAGTGAACATTATCAGTGAAAGTCTAAGTGAAAGTTAGCAGTAAAAGTTATCAGTGAGAGTTTAAGTGAGAGCTATAGTGAAAGTCTAATTGAAATCTAAAGTGAAAGTACTGTAATTGAAAGTGGGATCAGAAGTGAAATCTATAAGTGTAAATATAAATGAAAGCTAAAGTAAGTTTTAGTGAAAATTATGATGATGTTATATATGAAAATTATAGTGAAAGTATAAGTGAAAGTTAGTTATGACGAAAATTTTAAATATGCTTTATGGTGAAAGTTATATATGGACGTTATGGTAAAAATTTGAAGAAATTTATGGTGAAAGTTAAGAGAGTTTTGGTGAAAGTTATAAGTGAAGGTCAAAGTTAAAAGTAAAATCAAAGTGAGAGTTAAAATATGATGGAAGAAGTGAAAGTAGGATTGAAATTGAATTCTAAAGAAAATTTATGATTAAAGATATCGGTGAAAGTAAAATTGAAGGAGTGAAAGTCAAATTTATAGGAAATATTAAATACGAAATGATAGTGAAAGTTAATATGAAAGTTGAGGAAAAATGAAAGTAAAAGTGAAAGATAAATTGAAAGCTACAGTAAGTTACAACCTAAAATTAAATTAAAATTAAGGTCAGAATGAAAGTAATGGTTAAAGTCAAAATAAAGGAAAGTGAAGCAAAAAAGAAAATTAATGCACTTAAAATCAAACGTCACTGAAAAAAGAAAGTAAAAAAGAAAGCAATATTGTCGTTACAGACAGAGAAAATAAAATTGTGAAAGTGAGAATTGATTACTAGAGATAAAGTGAAAGTAAAACTGAGTGCGTCAAAACAATCAAATATGAGTCTTAGTGAAAGACTGAGTGATTAAAGGGAAAGTGAGACTGACTTTCGATTAAGTGTATCCATAAGTGAGAGTGAAAGTTACTTGTAGAACTTTACAATACATATCAAAGTAAAAGTATAAGTAAAAGGTGGAGAAAGTAAGAGAAAGAGACGGTGACGGGAAGAATACGACAGAAAAATATGTTTATGACAGACAGAGAAAGTTGACGTGGAAGACAGAAAGCCAGTGGTGTAAACTAACCAGAGGTGTAAACTAGCCGGTGGTGTAAACTAGCCAGTAATGTAATCTATTATGGTGTAAACTAGCCAGTGGTGTAAACTAGCCAGTGGTATAAACTAGCCAGCGTTGTAAACTAATCTTTTATGTAAACTAGCCAGTGGTGTAAACTAGCCAGTAATGTAAACCAGCCAGTGGTATAAACTAGCCAGTGGTGTAAACTAAACTAACCTATTGTGAAGACTAGACAGTGGTGTACAGTTCATAACACAGTGGCGTCAATATGGCGCTTAATTAATAATATAAATTCCCAAATTCATTTTTTTTGACATCCAACAAAATTATCATAACCACAACTGTTAATAATAGTAATAATAATAATAATAATAATAATAATAATAATAATAATAATAATAATAATAATAATAATAATGTTAATAATAATAATAACCAACTCACCGCAAACTTGAAGAGTCATGATGAGTCAGCAAGATTTACGCCCACACACATACCTGTAAAAATAGAAAATCAGTATTAGTACATAAAAATGCTTCTTATTTCTGTGTTGTATATCACTGAATGTATATGAAACACACACACAATACGTTACTTATACACCAATAGCACCACAATCTTCATCATCCATCACCACTATCATAACTCACAACAACCACAATTAGCATCGCAACCAGTAATACTAAAATTACAACCACATCAAGCTACCAGTCTCTTAATACAACCATAATCAAAACACAACATTTCAACAACCACAACCACAACACCTCCACAACCACAACACCTCCACAACTAACATCTCAACAACCACAACACCTCCACAACCACAACAACTCTACAACCACAACAACTCTACAACCACAACACCTCCACAACCACAACACCTCCACAACCACAACAACTTACAACCACAACACCTCCACAACCACAACTAACATCCCAACAACCACAACTCTACAACCACAACACCTCCACAACCACAACTAACATCTCAACAACCACAACACTACAACCACAACACTCCACAACCACAACTCTCTCAACCACAACACCTCCACAACCACAACTAACATCTCAACAACCACAACTCTACAACCACAACACCTCCACAACCACAACTAACATCTCAACAACCACAACACTACAACCACAACACCTCCACAACCACAACTCTACAACCACAACACCTCCACAACCACAACTAACATCTCCACAACTAACATCTCTACACCACAACACCTCCACAACCACAACCAACATCTCCACAACTAACATCTCTACAACCACAACAACTCTACAACCACAACTAACATCTCCACAACCACAACACTCCACAACCACAACTAACATCTCAACAACCACAACAACACTACAACCACAACAACCACAACCACAACATCTCCACAACCACAACACCTCCACAACCACAACAACTCTACAACCACAACACCTCCACAACCACAACCAACATCTCAACAACCACAACCCACAACCACAACACTCACAACCACAACAACTCTACAACCACAACACCCACAACCACAACAACTCTACAACCACAACACCTCCACAACCACAACTAACATCTCAACAACCACAACCCACAACCACAACACCTCACACCACAACAACTACACCAACACCTCCACAACCACAACTAACATCTCAACCACAACTCCACACCACAACACCTCCACAACCACAACCAACATCTCCACAACCAACAACTCTACAACCACAACAACTCTACAACCACAACACTCCACAACCACAACACCTCCACAACACCTCCACAACCACAACTAACATCTCAACAACCAAACTCCACAACACCTCCACAACCACAACTAACATCTCAACAACCACAACAACACTACAACCACAACACCTCCACAACCACAACCAACATCTCCACAACCAACATCTCTATAACCACAACACCTCCACAACCACAACCATCTCCACAACTAACATCTCTACAACCACAACAACCTCTACAACCACAACCAACATCTCCACAACTAACATCTCTACAACCACAACAACTCTACAACCACAACTAACACCTCCACAACACAACCACAACACCCGAACCACAACACCTTCACAACCACAACAAACATCTCAACAACAACAACAACTCTACAACCACAACAACTCTACAACCACAACAACTCTACAACCACAACACCTTCACAACCACAACACCTCCACAACCACAACTAACATCTCAACAACCACAACAACTCTACAACCACAACAACTCTACAATCACAACACCTCCACAACCACAACACCTCCGCAACCACAACACCTTCACAACCACAACAAACATCTCAACAACCACAACAACTCTACAACCACAACATCTCAACAACCACAACAACTCTAAACCACAACACCTCCACAACCACAACACTCTACAACACAACACACACACCACAACACCTCCACAACACCTCCACAACCACAACCACAACACCTCCACAACCACAATCACATAACCGTGGACCATTAGTCAAGGTAATACCATGGTGACCGCCAGCAGCTGACCTCCGTCCACCAAGGTCACCGCCTCCACCACCACACCGTCCTAGGGGCCACCACCACCACCACAACACCACGACTCTCCACCATAACGACACCCGTGGCATAACACCTTCCTCCTCCGAATATTTAATTATATTAAAATCTGCTTGGGCTCTCACCACCCGGAGTTGCCAATTGGCCATTTTTAGAAATATATAAACATTTTTCTGGGGCGTACATTGGCAAGATGAATTAAACATTCCATTGAGTGTTATTGGGCGCCATTCCCGAGCCCGACAATGTTTAGTAATCAGCGGAGACACGGTGGAAACATCGTAAACATTACGGAATAATAAACATAATACAGCAAAAATGGGCGCCAAAAAATGTTGGTGTTGACGACACGACGAGGGGAATGTGTGAGAAGTTGTGTGATTGCCTGGCTCTGTGGTGGCTCTGTAGGTCCTGTGGTGGCTCTGTGGTGGCTCTGTGGTGGCTCTGTGACGGCACTGTGGTGGCTCTGTGGTGGCTCTGCACTGTGGTGGCACTGTGGTGGCTCTGTGGTGGCTTTGTGACGGCACTGTGGTGGCTCTGTGACGGCACTGGTGCTCTGTGGCGGCACTGTGGCACTGTGGTGGCTCTGTGGTGGCTTTGTGACGGCACTGTGGTGGCTCTGTGCGGCACTGTGGTGGCTCTGTGGTGTGGTTTTGTGAACACTGTGGTGGCTCTGTGGCAGTAACTGTGGCGGCACTGTGGTGGCTCTGTGGTGGCTCTGTGGTGGCACTGTGGTGGCTCTGTAACGGCACTGTGGTGGCTCTGTGGTGGCTCTGTAACGGCACTGTGGGTGCTCTGTGGTGGCTCTGTGGTGGCTCTGTGGCGGCACTGTGGTGGTTTGTAACGGCACTGTGGTGGTCTGTGGCGGCTCTGTGGTGGCTCTGTGGTGGTCTGTGGCACTGTGGTGGCACTGTGGTGGCTCTGTGGTGGCTCTGTGGTGCTTTGTGACGGCACTGTGGCGGCACTGTGGTGGCTCTGTGGTGGCTCTGTGTGGCACTGTGGTGGCTCTGTAACGGCACTGTAGGCTCTGTGGTGGCTCTGTAACGGCACTGTGGTGGCTCTGTGGTGGCTCTGTGTGTTTGTGGCAATTGTAGGTTTCAACGGCAATTGTAGGGTCTGTGGTGGTCTGTAGGGTTTGTGGCACTGTGGTTTGTGGTGGCTGGGGGTGAGGGAGGCTGGGGTGAGGGAGACTGGGGGGTGAGGGGAGGCTCGTGGTGAGGGGAGGCTGGGGGTGAGGGGAGGCTGGGGGAGTGAGGGAGGCTGGGGTGAGGGAGGCTGGGAGTGAGGGAGGCTGGGGGTGAAGGAGGCTGGGAGTGAGGGAGGCTGGGGGTGAGGGAGGCTGGGGGGAGGAGGGAGGCTGGGGTGAAGGAGGCTGGGGGTGAAGGAGGCTGGGGGGTGAGGGAGACTGGGGGTGAGGGAGACTGGGGGGTGAGGGGAGGCTGGGGGAGAGGAGGCTGGGAGGAGGGAGGCTGGGAGGAGGGAGACTGGGGGTGAGGAGACTGGGGGGTGAGGGAGGCTGGGAGGAGGGGAGGCTGGGGGTGAGGGAGGCTGGGGGTGAGGGAGGCTGGGGAGGAGACTGGGGTGAGGAGGCTGGGGTGAGGGAGACTGGGGGTGAGGGAGGCTGGGGGTGAGGGAGACTGGGGGGTGAGGGAGACTGGGGTGAGGGAGACTGGGGGTGAGGGAGGCTGGGGTGAGGGAGGCTGGGGGTGAGGGAGGCTGGGGGTGAGGGAGACTGGGGAAGAGACTGGGGTGAGGGAGACTGGGGTGAGAGGAGGCTAGGGGTGAGGGAGACTGGGGGTGAGGGAGACTGGGGGTGAGGGAGGCTGGGGTGAGGAGACTGGGGGTGAGGAGACTGGGGGTGGAGGGAGGCTGGGGGTGAGGGCTGGGAGTGAGGGAGGCTGGGGGGTGAGGGAGACTGGGGGGGTGAGGAAGGCTGGGGTGAGGGAGACTGGGGGGGTGAGGGAGACTGGGGGTGAGGGAGACTGGGGTGAGGGAGACTGGGGTGAGGGAGGCTGGGAGGAGGGAGGCTGGGGGTGAGGAGGCTAGGGGTGAGGGAGACTGGGGGGTGAGGAAGGCTGGGGGTGAGGGAGACTGGGGTGAGGAAGGCTAGGGGTGAGGGAGACTGGGGGTGAGGGAGACTGGGGTGAGGGAGGCTGGGAGTGAGGGAGGCTGGGAGGTGAGGGAGGCTAGGGGTGAGGGAGACTGGGGGTGAGGAAGGGGTGAGGGAGACTGGGGTGAGGGAGGCTAGGGGTGAGGGAGACTGGGGTGAGGGAGGCTGGGGTGAGGAAGGCTGGGGGGTGAGGGAGGCTAAGGGGTGAGGGAGACTGGGGGTGAGGAAGGCTGGGGGAGGGGAGGCTGGGGGTGAGGAGACTGGGGGTGAGGAAGGCTAGGGGTGAGGGAGACTGGGGGTGAGGGAGGCTGGGAGCGAGGGAGGCTGGGGGTGAGGGAGACTGGGGGTGAGGAAGGCTGGGGTGAGGAGACTGGGGTGAGGGCTGGGGTGAGGGAGACTGGGGGTGAGGGAGGCTGGGGGTGAGAGGGAGGCTAGGGGTGAGGGAGGCTGGGGGTGAGGGAGACTGGGGGGGTGAGGGAGACTGGGGGGTGAGGGAGACTGGGGGGTGAGGGAGCTGGGGGTGAGGGAGACTGGGGTGAGGGAGGCTGGGGGGTGAGGGAGGCTGGGGGTGAGGGACTGGGGGTGAGGAAGACTGGGGGTGAGGGAGGCTGGGGTGGGGGGAGACTGGGGGTGAGGGAGACTGGGGGGGTGAGGGAGACTGGGGGTGAGGGAGGCTGGGGGGTGAGGGAGACTGGGGGTGAGGGAGGCTGGGGGGAGGGGAGGCTGGGGTGAGGGAGACTGGGGGTGAGGGAGACTGGGGGTGAGGGAGGCTGGGGGTGAGGGAGACTGGGGGTGAGGGAGACTGGGGGGTGAGGGAGACTGGGGGGTGAGGGAGACTGGGGTGGAGGAAGGCTGGGGGTGAGGGAGACTGGGGTGAGAGGGAGGCTGGGGGGTGAGGAGGCTGGGGGGTGAGGGAGAGACTGGGGGTGAGGAAGGCTAGGGGGTGAGGGAGACTGGGGTGAGGGAGGCTGGGAGCGAGGAGGCTGGGGGTGAGGGAGACTGGGGGTGAGGAAGGCTGGGGTGAGGGAGACTGGGGGTGGGAGGGAGGCTAGGGGTGAGGGAGACTGGGGGGTGAGGGGAGGCTAGGGGTGGGAGGGAGGCTGGGGGTGAGGGAGGCTGGGGGTGAGGGAGGCTGGGGGTGAGGAAGGCTGGGGTGAGGGAGGCTGGGGGGTGAGGGAGGCTGGGGGTGAGGAAGGCTGGGGGGTGAGGGAGACTGGGGTGAGGAGGCTAGGGGAGGGAGGCTGGGGGGTGAGGGAGGCTGGGGGTGAGGGAGGCTGAAGGTGAGGGAGGCTAGGTGAGGGAGACTGGGGGTGAGGGAGACTGGGGGGTGAGGGAGACTGGGGGTGAGGGAGGCTGGGGGGGTGAGGGAGGCTGGGGGTGAGGGAGGCTGGGGGTGAGGAGACTGGGGGTGAGAAGGCTAGGGGAGGGAGACTGGGGAGTGGGAGGCTAGGGGGTGAGGAAGGCTGGGGGAAGAGGGAGGCTAGGGGGTGAGGGAGACTGGGGGTGAGGAGGCGGGGTGAGGGAGACTGGGGGTGAGGGAGGCTGGGGTGAGGGAGGCTGGGGGTGAGGGAGGCTGGGGGGTGAGGGAGACTGGGGGGTGAGGAAGGCTAGGGGTGAGAGGGAGACTGGGGGGTGAGGGAGGCTGGGGGGTGAGGAAGGCTGGGGGTGAGGGAGGCTAGGGGGTGAGGGAGACTGGGGTGAGGGGAAGGCTGGGGGGTGAGGGAGACTGGGGGTGAGGGAGGCTGGGGTGAGGGAGGCTGGGGGGTGAGGGAGGCTGGGGGATGAGGAAGACTGGGGTGAGGGAGGCTGAGTGAGGAGGCTGGGGGTGAGGGAGACTGGGAGGTGAGGGAGGCTGGGAGGTGAGGGAGACTGGGGGTGAGGGAGGCTGGGGGTGAGGGAGGCTGGGGTGAGGGAAACTGGGAGGAGGGAGGCTGGGGGTGAGGGAGGCTGGGAGGTGAGGGAGACTGGGGGTGAGGGAGGCTGGGGGGGTGAGGGAGGCTGGGGGTGAGGAAACTGGGAGGAGGGAGGCTGGGGGTGAGGGAGGCTGGGAGGTGAGGGAGACTGGGGTGAGGGAGGCTGGGGGGTGAGGGAGGCTGGGGGTGAGGAAGACTGGGGTGAGGGAGGCTGGGGTGAGGGAAACTGGGAGGAGGGAGGCTGGGGGTGAGGGAGACTGGGGTGAGGGAGGCTGGGGTGAGGGAGGCTGGGGGAGGGAGGCTGGGGGGAGGGAAACTGGGAGTGAGGGAGGCTGGGGTGAGGGAGGCTGGGAGGTGAGGGAGACTGGGGGTGAGGGAGGCTGGGGGGGTGAGGAGGCTGGGGGTGAGGGAAGGCTGGGGGGTGAGGGAGGCTGGGAGGGAGGTGGGAGGGAGACTGGGGTGAGGGAGGCTGGGGGGGAGGAAGGCTGGGGGGTGAGGGAGACTGGGGGATGAGGGAGGCTGAGGGTGGAGGGAGGCTGGGAGGAGGGAGGCTGGGGGTGAGGGAGGCTGGGAGGAGGGAGGTGAGGGAGGCTGGGAGGAGGGAGGTGAGAGAGGTGACGGAAAATAGAGATATTTTAATCATTACTAATTAAAGTTTATCATCATGGCTGAGAGAGAGAGAGAGAGAGAGAGAGAGAGAGAGAGAGAGAGACCTGGTACAAATACGAAATTGTGACAATTCGACTTTGCTCATAAATCATATTCAGGTTAAAAGCTTTTGAAACTGTAATATAAATATCCCTGACACTAACTATAATATGTGAATGAAATGTGAGTATATATATATATATATATATATATATATATATATATATATATATATATATATATATATATATATATATATATGTAAAACATTAATAGCTGTAAATAAGTCAACTCAGAGTCTGTTGTCCGGGGCCAATGAACGACAGGCCGAAAATGGCGGGAAAATTTGATGACGTGGTACGATTTTTGACAGCGGGATTAATGACCAAATAATACACTCCATACATGATATAAACTGTTAGTGAGATGAAAACAATATATACAGTATTTCCATATAATAAATACTAATTCATACACAATGCAATCTGAAAGAGAGAGAAACAAATCGTATATTTTTCAGATTGTTTCTTTGAACTGATCAATAGTTTGGTAATGGCGAGGATCAAACCAGAAGGTCTAATCTGGTTATCAGTGTTCAAGGTATTTTCGTAAATAATGATAAATTGTGAGAAATATTGTTAGCCAGTGACTCTCGATACTGCACTCTGTTGGGTGGATGAATATATTACTGAAAATATTTTTGTGAAGGTACAATGTTAAGAAGCTTATAGTGCGGGACTTGTATTGATTATGTGGTTAGTGAGGCCATATTGTTGACGTAATGAGAACAACAACAACAACAACAATGATGATAATAATAATAATAATAATAATAATAATAATAATGATAATAATAATAATAATAATAATAATAATAATAATAATAATAATGATAATAATAATAATAATGATAATAATAATAATAATAATAATAATAATGATAATAATAAAAAAAAAAAAAAAAAAAACAAAAAAAAAAAAAAAATAATATACTGAAAGTAACCTCTCTGTATATATAGTTGAAGTGTAAACACGGAAATATTTCATTAATAACTGGCGAGCATCGAGTGTGTACTGTATAGCAGGTGACAACTTTATGAACATGTAACCCACACTAAACCTTGTAAACAAATAAACATTCATCTGTCTGTCCATCCGCCTGTCTGTACCTGCCTGTCTGTACCTGCCTGTCTGTACCTGCCTGTCTGTCCGTCTGTCTGTCTAAACATTCATCTACAGCTGGGAATGAGTCGTTATGGTAAACAAACCTCATCGCCTTCACTGCCAAAATACCACAACGATGGGCTTTTATATACCAAGATATGCACATAATGGTCAACGAGACACGCACGCACACACACACGCACACACGCACGCACGCACACACACACACACACACA